ATGCGAACTTTTTTGTGGAGTCAGCCCCCTCAAACTAAAAAATCCGTAAGGCACACAATGCATGTTGCATGCAATGGGGAAGATTACACTGTATGAGTGTTGACCACACTTGGGGGATGCATGTGGCATCTCAGGTGACTTTACAGAAAGTAGAAACAAGTGCTTTCTACTTTACTGACAACTTCCATGGTAGTATCCAGTATGTCTAACGATGTCACTTAGAACCATAAGGGTATTTTTGGGACGATTTTTAATTTAATTTTATTTATTTCATTGTCCTTATTCTGACAGATTCTACTTAGATTTAAGAAGACAAGAAGAGACAGAGAGAGATGCCTTCATCGATGAGTGTCTGAGTGACATGACCATACGAGACCAAATAGCCATTGTGTCCAGAAAGTATAAGAATGAAGTCCAGGTATTGAGTAAAACCCTTACCTTTGTATTGCAAGTTGCAGATCGTGATATTTGTAAAACATGGGTGGCGTTCGCTGCTAAGGTGCTGCCTATCACCAATGTGCCGTGTCCGTATTAAGCAGGTGTCCAAGACGTAGGCCTCACCAATGCGACGTGTCCGTATTAAGCAGGTGTCCAAGACGCAGGCCTCACCAATGCGACGTGCCCGTATTAAGCAGGTGTCCAAGACGCAGTCCTCACCAATGCTACGTGCCCGTATTAAGCAGGTGTCCAAGACGCAGGCCATAACTGTATTTTTTTACAAAATTCTTATTGTTCACCAGGTGCTTCAGAATGATAAACTGCTGTTTGATGATGACTTAATATCCGTCGAACCTGTGGTAAGATTCTCCAACCATATTCACGGATGTTAGTTTTAGCTTAAAGTACTATGAATGAAATGCAGAGTGAAGGTTTTCAAGACAGCGAGAATTGGACTGGATGATGCTTATTTTGATTTTAAGCTTAACTGGACAATTGTAACTCTTTGTATTATGGACGTCCTAAGGATTTGATAGAACACCTGCAGCTAATAAGCAGCTAAGCTGGTTAATATGCCTCGAAAAATACGCCGCAACTTAAAAAGTTGCATTAGCTACCTATAGAACAGAGCATGGAGTTTAAGGCATTGCTTTTTACATAGAAGACAATAAGTGGTCTGTCTACACCGCGTAGGTCTTCTTAAGTCGATCTGTTAGAACCCTTATAATGCTCTACAACGCTCCCTGAGATCTGTTCCAAAAAATGTCGTAAAATGGTCCGACGTTTTCTTAGAAATTGTATGGTTGCAGATCTTTTTTGAGTGTACGCACATAATTGCTTTGAACAGAACACTGAGTGAGTTATTGATTTTCTTCATGTTTTTTGCTGTCAGGAGGGAGATATCTGGCCCAATTCTCAGGCTGAAATAAATATCATATTCAAACCACAAGAAGCTCAAAGGTATGTATCATTGTGATTTACTTTTTGACCTTGTTTTTTACTAAAGCCATTTGGGATCTTTGCCCTCCCATTTTGCTTTAACAGATCAAAAACAGTTTTCCGTGTTTGATACTCTGATCAAAACACGCGGGATGTTGGGAGAACACGAGAGGAGCGTAGGAAACCACGACGCGTAGCGTTTTTGATTTGTTTTATAAAATAACAAACTCGTGAAAAGATCGAAAAAAGGCGTAAATTCTCCCTACCTGCCGACTTGTTCAAACTGACCAATGAGCGCGCGCGATAGCTTAAAATCTGACAGTTGCAATACTCGCGCGCGCTAAAATGACGCGAGCGTGTTTTGATACTCTCATCAAACATGGTTTTCGACCAATCATAGCGCGCGTAGTATCCCAATTATTTTATAATTAACAGATCAAAAACAGTTTTCCGTGTTTGATACTCTGATCAAAACACGCGGGATGTTGGGAGAACACGAGAGGAGCGTAGGAAACCACGACGCGTAGCGGTTTAATAGAGTATATTCTCGTTGTGTTATTGCAGCTATGCCAGAACTCTGTACTGCGATGTGTCTGGTCGTGAGTCCAGGTTACCACTACGAATAAGGGGGGAGGGCATAGGTCCTCTTGTTGAGTTCTCCTTTGATAGACTGAACATTGGCAATGTGTTTGTCAACTCGAAGCACTCTTACGAGGTAAGGATAGTATTAGAATACCATGAAATCGCGCGCACGGGCTGCGGCACTTATGAAGCACGCAAGGATTGCGGGCAAGACACGGGAGAAGCGCAACGTGTGATGGGTATTTTGTATAAGTGGAAAACAATACGGCAAATTCGCATTCGTACTATAGTGTTACCGTAACCGTAACCGTAACCGTAACTACGCGTTGTGAATAGATGAATCCCAAGAAGACAATGGGAAGCCATTTCGATGTTACGGCATGCCATACCACGTACGTGCTGTAAAGTCTGAACCGTATGTTACCACTCTAAACATGCGATGTCGTTAATTGCGCTCTAAGAGCATCATTCATTTTTTTTATCGAAAAGAAAAAGAAAACTCCGACACAACCTCTAGACTGATTGAAAATAGTCGGCTCTTTATAGGTATTGCAAAGTACCTGAAGCACGAAGACAATAAAATAATAGCCAAGGATGATGAATTTGGAGCAAAAAAATTAATAAATACCCTGCAAAACAAAAACCCTAACCCAGAATACGATACAGCTTGCTACACCAAGAAATACCCGAATAGTCTTTCTACCCTATCTAATTTAATGTATCTATCCATTACTAGGTCGTTTTGGCTAACAAAGGTGACATCGATGCGGTTTTCACTATACTACCAAGTGATACCCTGTTTGGCCCTCAGTTCATCTTCACCCCTGCGCAAGGTATAGTTGTACCTGGGGGTTATCAGGCTATACAGGTAAATAACTTACTTTGCTTGCATTACTCATGGCTATCAGGTGTTGTGCGCTCGGCAATATTTCAGTCTAGACCTAATAATATGTGAGGTGTAAAATTTCTTAATATCTTATCTTAGATCTATTTCTGTTCACCTCATCTTGGGGATTTCGACGAGACGTTCTTGTTTGCCATCGAAGGTTCCCCAGAGAAGATCAAGCTTAACATAAGGTATGAAGTATTGTTTGAAAGGTCAGCATTCGCCTACGCCGTAGAACTGTGAGAATTATGAATAGTAACAACTGCACTTAATAACTAGTGGCTACCAAACCTGTAGCCCTTGTTCCATGATCGAATTGGAAATTAGAAGTTGATTTTTGTAGAAGGAGGAAATACCTCAAATGTGTCCGAGAACCGAACTCACAACCTCAGCGGTGCGAGGCGGTGGCGCATTAAGAGCACACAACAGCAAATCGATGAATGCAGAGGGCTGCTTACTACAAGATTAATCGAGAATCTATTGACTCTAGCTTATAGAGTACACCCTAGCTGAAATACACCACATCCCATTTCCCAATCACACCATCACGCAGTCCTTAGCTGAAATACACCACAC